CCCACCACCGTCATTTTTAGAGTAGATTCGTACGGTGATAACTTACCAAGAAGTTCATGCAGAAAAAATTATAATTCCATGCTTGCAGAAAAGTTTGCTTACAATGCTCATTGACTCTTTTCTAACAATGAGGGATCTTGCCGTCGGGTTGATCTCGACATAATGATCTTCAAGTGATTTTTTTAGTAATTTTCCGATTAATTTTTTAGTGATAATATGGATATTACTTTTGTCATGCTAATACAAAATGCACTAGTCAACTGGCAAAACAGAAGAAACCATTCCACTAGACAATTCAACAGACTATTGATTTTTTCCGTTTAAAGTAAATTAAACCTATTGTTCGCTAATACTTGGAGGGTAATTCCTAGAACACAGCAGCTACCAGATGCATACTTACTTGTCCAAGTTTCGTGAAGTCCTCATCTCTGTCGGAGAGTTGTTTGATGGTCTTCCCCCAGAGTTGGAGCATTTCTTGGCGTCCTCTATTTTCTTCTCGACTCATATCAGCCATCGCGTCAATTTGCAATTGCATCACCTCATTCTTGCTAACCATAGTGTCTAGTTTCTTAAGCAATTCGACGCGTTTAGCACCCAGTTTCTTCTCTTCATTTGTCAAACGCTTTAATTAATGAAATTTAATTAGTTACTCAAGTTAATTTTTCTGTGATAACTCGGTAAATACCTCATATACAAATTACCTTTAATTTGTAAAGATTAAATAATCATCGCTGCGGTTTTAAATAACACGCTTCATCTACTGCATTATACCTAGTATAAGAGGCATTTCATTTATAAAAATGTGAAATTACTTTCATTTTTTATTAAAATTGACTAGTTAAACATTTAATTAATGAATAAATCATATTAAAAAGGTGAGTTATCATAAAATTTGTTTAAATTTTGATACTAAATAAAAATTAAATTTTTGACTAATTCTCAATGCCTTAAAACCTATTTTCAAAATCTAACATTCCTTAAATAATAATTATTATTATATGAGTACTATTCTTGTAAAATTTAGCAAATATCATTTCCTTGGTCCAATTTCTTGTCTTTAATTTCTTAAATACTTATAATAATAATAGTAATTTAAAAATTACCTTAATTATAAAATTTTCAGCTCTGCTGAGTGTCTCTAATCTTCTCATCAAAGCATGCTCCGATTCACAATCCGTAATAAATTGTTCCACCAACTTCTGATCACAGTCCAATTCCGATTTTATTTTTTGAAGTTCATTTGATTTAAGGAAAATTTCATTCTAAAATTATAAAAAAGACGAGCATTCCATCATTTGTTTTTTTTAAAAAAGGAATTCTTTCGACACCGACTGCTAGTGCATTCTAAAATAATTAGTTTACTAAAATGATAATTCCATAAAAAAAAGATTATGGTGTGATAGTTTTGACATAAATGTCATTGTACTAATTTTTGGCCCTAATCTCTTGCTTCCCCTTTGATTTTCCGTCTCGAGCATGCCAATTACTGCATTTCCAAATTGGTCATCCTCCTTCTCCTCCTCCTCTAACTTCTGAACCAGTTGGCTCCTTTAAAATCCTTCATTGGCACCCCATTCAGAAGCAAAATTAGCGTTAATAGAATAGAAATGCACAACATGGAAAGTTTTTTGTTTAAAAGGCAATGTGTTGCTGAAATGGCCACAAATTAGGAAAGGACAACTTTCGCGCAATGAACACCTATCAACTTTCCTTGACAAAAATGTTCCATGTACTTTGGTACATCAATAATATCACAGGTCACTTCAAATATTTTTTAATAGAGACACAGGGAAATTATTCTTACTCCCTTTATAGAGTCAAAAATTGTCGCTTTGTTATTGTTATGTGTTCTACTATAACGTGAAAATAATCTTCAAGCTTTACCTAGGTCTAATCTTGTGTGGCATGTCTTTTGCATTTGGTGTTCAAAATAAACCGCTAAAGTGCAAAAAAGTTCTTCGACGTTTAGTTGGTAAACGCTTTAAACCCCCTTCTCCTCCTTGTAATTGACTTTTTGAAAGTCAAACTTACATGTTGTACTAAATTAAATCTTACTTAAAAAAAAGATTGAGAAAGATTGTGTTTGGACCGAATGCATAAGGCAAGTATTTCGCAAAACAAATATGTCGTGTTATCGAAACAATCATGTTAATTTGTAGAAAATGTTTGAAAATTAAATAATTTTGCAAATAAAATGTTTTTGCGCTAAACATAGACGTCGAATCTTGCAATCAACTTCCCAGGAAAAGCCACACTTGAAAAAAAAAGTTATTTTGACCTAAAGCCGTCTTGGTAATGCAAAATTAAACATTTTATATTATTACTATGGGGTTTGTGATAGACTTACCTCCATGTGGTGCACCCTGGACAACGTATACTCATACGGCAAAAAGGTCTATTAACTAGCAGTTGACTTCTGACTTCAAACTACCATAACCCCACTGTATGTCATATTCGACTACTTTCACAGTACTCATCTCACCTTTTTTCTACCTTTGTGTCTGTCTGTCTCCTTTACATCTTTGAAAC